TTTGAAGACATGTCTGGATGCTTTCCTGGGTGACCTGCCCTAGACTAGACGGTCCAGCTCTGGCAGGTGTGTTGGACTCGATGATCTCCAGAGGTCCCTTCCAACCCCTAATATTCTGTGATTCTGTGAATAACAATACTAATAAGAAAATAATTAAAATATTTAAATATATACAAAACCAACACTGAACCCAGCCTCCTAAAGGCAATCACATCACCACTGATGCTGTGGGGCAGGGACTGCGGAAGTCCCAGACTGACTCAGTGGCAGTCAGAAGCCAGATTCAGCAACCAGATTCAGGAATGCATGGAGAAGAACAAACAGTAGGATGAACAGAGTCCTCCTTGGATGCCAGCCGTTGAAGAAGAGAGCTTAATCCTTGTGATCCCTCAGCTTTATACATATATTCCATATACATTTTATATGCATAAATGATCTATATAGAATGGAATACCTTGTTGGTCAGTTTTGGGTCACCTCTCCTGTCCACTCCTCCTCACAAGTGACTTCTTTTACTTACGATCACTTTGCTCACAGCACCCCAATGTGGTACACAAGATTCAGCACTGACCTTGGTTTCTGTGGAGCAGGTAAAAGCAAGAGCCTTTTTGCACACCAGTTCTTACGAGTAGCTGTAAATATCAGGTGTTACCCCTGCTAGAAACAGACACTGAAAATACGCTGCAAACTTCAGACAGTCCTGTTAGTTAGAAAAGTTTTAGCTGAAAACTAAAATCATGAACAGAATTAGTTCTTTTCTAGCTCAAACTAGGACAGGTGCCCAATGTGACATTGTTTTTTCAGGTAGTGTAGCAGTTTAATATCCTATAACAGTCAGTCATTCCAGTAGGTAGAAGTAACGTTCATATAATTCCAGAAGGCATTGGTTTAGGGAGATTTGATGCTTTAGCGAATTTGACACAGCGTCTCCACCAGCTGGCACTCAACACGGAAAAGTGTATTGACATAAGGTGTCTGCCTACAAAATTAGTTCTCATGCTTTGAAAGGAATTTTTTTCCTCCTGAGTTTATATTTTATTGTTTATGTTGTATTTAAAATAGAACATCTATCTTTCCTTACATAGTTTTTTGCACAAGTAACTGTAGTTGAAGATGATGAATAAAACCAAGGGAAGATCCTCTATTGTGGACTTTTATCTCCAGTTTTTGTTTGGTTTTACAGAATTTAATAACATATTTTTGTAGATTCATCTATTTTTTTCATGGTATTGGGGGATAACTCTGAAACCTAATTTCAGAAGTAATAATTACTGAGATTCAGATGAGTTTGAAAAGTTCCATTGCTGATCCATAAAAAGCAAAGGCACTCCATGGCTACCAGGATAGCACCTCATAAGAGCCAATATATACCTGTAGAATTTTTGCTTAGTTTCCTGCTGTTTGTTATCTTTAAATAATAGTATCTTTTTTTCACCAGTTGGTGTCACCACTGGATAAGAAATTACAACTGACAAAAAATACTTCCTAGTTGGATGTTTTGGAATAATTCTGAACTTTCTAATAGAGAAGTTTTGTGTGAAAATACAAATTCACCAAATCATATCAGCTAAAACTCACAGTAGTACATAGCTAGGCCTTTCCTCCCCGTGAAAGTTAGATTAATGCTAACATCTTTGATATCAAGTTATAAAGTCACTGAACTGCTTTCCAAATGTCTTGTGTGTTTTGAAGTTACTGCTTGCATTAGCAGTAAGTCTATAAAAGTATTAAATGTTGAGCTACTTAGACCCAGTAGGGGATACCACTACAGGTGGTAGAAAGCTGAATGAGTGTTTCACCTCAAAATCACTAATGTTTTGACTTTTTTTTTTTTTTAGCCTCCAATGTATCTGTTTGTGCGACATGATGTTGGATCGCTTGTTTGACATTTTTTCCTGTTCTAGGCTATCTTCTGGGGAGTGAGGATTATTATTCTCATGACCGTTGTGTCCTCATCAAAGCGAAGAACATAACACGCTGCGCTGTGGACTTTCGAGATGGAGAAGAAGTTGCAACTGGGTTTAAAAATGTGTACTCTACTAATTTATTCACAGAAAGAGCTATAGATCTTATAGCAAATCACAATACTGAGAAGGTACAGTCAGCAGCTGTTACTTTTATAACTTCAACACTAAAGAATGTCTTAAAAAATATGTTGACTAAATATTAATGGGGAGACTTGTGCTTGAGCTCTAGTTCAGGGCTAGTCAGCAGGGTGCATAGAGCTAAATGTGAGAAGTAGCACTGGCAAAACTTTGCTGTTAGATCAGCCCTGGCCTGCTACCCTTCTCCATTTCTTTTTTGATAGCACAAGTAATGAACTTGTAGAAATTGTGTAGCATGCAATTTGCTCTTCTGAAAAAAGAGAATGGAAAGTTTAATGGGAGGAGTTTCATGCAAAGAAACTGTTAACAACTGTGTTATGAGGAAAAGATACACCTCATGTGTTTCCACAGCTTTGCAAAAGTCCTTTACTGAAGTTCTATTTATTTATGTTTAGGAATTAGAAGAAAGAAGTGTTGAAGAAACTAAAACACAGTGCCTGTGGCTCTTGATGAATCAGGGCTATACTTGCTGCAATAACTTTTGCATTTAGTACTTTATATTCAATTAATTTCCATTCTATCCTCTCCCCTGCAGCCCCTCTTCCTCTACCTCGCATTTCAGTCTGTCCATGAACCTCTTGAGGTCCCTGAAGAATACATGAAACAATATTCTTCCATTAAAGATTTAAAGAGGCGCCATTATGCAGGGATGGTGACTCTTATGGATGAAGCTGTAGGAAATCTTACTGATGCTCTGAAAAAATATGGTCTCTGGGACAACACAGTTCTAGTTTTCTCTACTGGTGAGTTCATTTAAACCTTCTTTCAGTAATAACTTTGATAGAGTGTCTAACAGGCTGCCTGCAGAGACACCTGGCCCCTCTGTCCTTCCTCCATGTATTTTCAAACTGTAGGAGAGTGGTGGAAGTGAAACAAGACTTTGTACCACAAGGAGCAGTTTCTCCTCCCACTCTTACAGCTTTCTTAACTGTGGCAAAAACAACTCTGAAGAAGTGTATACAAATGAGAGATACTCCTATTGGAGTAAAAACAGCATTGTAAATGCAGAGGACTGTGGTGAAGCTGGAGGCATCCTACTTGCCACTGCATTTACAGAGTATCTGTCAGAATTTAATCGTTACTGAGGGTGTTCTACCAAATTAATTTGTGACAGTTTATAGGTAGCTGTCTGATCGATTTATGGATTGCAACATGTTGTGTGAAGCACGAACAGCCAGACAGCAAGGAGTTTGAAGCCAAAACTCTTTCTTTTCCTTATTTCCGTGGAACGTATAATTTTCGTCTTGCATGAAACAGTTCACTGGCACCTTACCCCCATGAAACTAAGGTCTGTTAATAAAGTGTGATGATACAGTCTGAGTTGCCAAATTACAGGCTAAGTTTTTGTATATGCGCACACACAATCTGGTTTCTAGATTATCAGTGTAATGCAAATAATACATTACAAAGCTGTCTCCCTTGTTTCCAAATTCGGAATGAAAGGAACCTTTTTGAAGTACAACTGCTTGGCTGAGTTTCAGGAACATTGTTCTTGCTTGGTTGGGAGTGGGAAGTAGCCTCTCAATGCATACAGTTGCTTTAACATATTGACAGAATTTACATATTTCCCAGGCTGTACGTATTAGGGCTGTCAAAATGGCAAATTATTTTTCTGTGAACACTTAAAAAAAAACCCCAAAAACAAAACAAAACAAAAACAACAACACCACCACAACGACAAAAAGCTCAGACCCCAAGGTTTGATGGAAGTGCAGTAATATATTTTGAGTTTAGCAGCTGCTTCCTATAGCACTTGGAATTTAATTTTGAGTCCAAACCTGTTTGCCTCACAGTATTAGATGTGTGTCCAAGTTTTGGTTCTAACAGGATTTGATAACTCTTCTGCGCCTGTTTCTGTTTGCAATGTTTTCATATTTAGAACTGGAAGTAAGCAAAGCCATATGGAAAATGATACCGATATTTATTCCATATGGAAAAAATCCAGTCTTTGCTGATGTGGTCCTGGTAGAGTTATTTCAGTAGTATTTGTTCCGTATGTTTTGGAGTAAAACTAAAGACATCTGAGTTGGGATTACAGGGTATGACTGAATTAAAAAGACAAACTTATTTTTTTGTTGATAAAACCTTTTTTTCCAAGCAATGCCAGTATATGCTACTTTTAACAGTAGCTGTCGTGCAATCCATTACAGGTACATTTCAACAAGAATCAGTTAGGAGACTGTAGTGTCTGCCTATCTAATGGGGCTTATCTTGGGTTAATTGACATTTTAAACTACTGGGAGTACCATTTAATATGATTGCAATGCAAAGGAATTGGGCCTCGATCAAGCAGGCCAGGGGGCTGTGATTCGGGTTTTTCAGCGTTCTGTCTTCACTCCAAACAACTATGCTTTACAGGCATAAAACACTGCATTCATATCAGACCTAGTTTCAAAAAAAGAAAATGTTGAAACCATTAAGCATTAGAAAAAGGCCCCCTCTACCCCAAGAAATCTGTTCAGCTTTTCTATATTATATTTACTGCTTTTGCAGGTGATGTGTTCTAAAGTAAGCATTAGAGCACAGTTGAAAAGAAACATGAGAGGTCTGCATTTGAGCATCTTGTGCAGAGGGTTGTGCTGTGTGAGATCTCTCTGTGTAGCTTTCAAGCACATTGTGACTGGGAGTCTGAGTATGCACTGGTAGCTGTAATACGGGTGTATGGTTATAGTGTGATATTACCTCAGCTCCTGAGGGCACAGCAGTTCAAGGAAACTGTGCTACAAGCATTCTCCAAGGACTAGGAGACCTTCCTCTTGCTTGGTATGGCAAGAGGGACACATATTCCTCTATGAGCAGGAATTATCTTCAAGAAAGTTCTTCCAATATTGTGGGGTTAAGAATCAATTTAAGTATTTTAATGAAGACTGAAGGGGAGAATCTAGGGAATGAAGAAGTGTATCCATAAGAGACACAGGATCATTAAATTACTCTGTTTTGTTGTGAACCTGTGTGGTTTGAATGTACTACTGGAAACCTGTAGTGGAAAAAGAAGCGAAGACCCTACTTTTATGGTTGATTTTACCAGATTCATTGATATCCCACATTTAGTTGTGGCCAAAATTCACACTTGGATGTTTCTGTCTTTCACTGCTTTAAAATTCTGCTCCCTCCCAATAATTTACAAGTGATGGTTTCCTATTGTATCCTATAGCAAGTAGCATTGCAACAGACACATTCTTCTGGTTGATTCCTTAACTGTGAAGTTCTGACCCCAAAATCAGAGATGTCTTTTTAGTGCGTGCTTATTGAAATACTCTAGAACATGATATAATCTTGGTTCTAATGGTAGATTTCTTGTTATTAAACTCTTTTGTGTTTCTTCCTGTTTGTATATGTTACGGCTTAAGCAGGATTGCCTTGAAAATGTGCCAGTTGGCAAGTGGAAATACTGCATGTTTCCAAAAGGCCTTGTAAAATGTGTGGAAGAACTCCAGTTCCTATTTAACGTTCAAAAATGAAATCATCTAGTCATTAGCAAAGTCTGACTCCATCAGTTTATCTTGTAAATCAACATCTCCGGTGTCTTTCTGAACCGATACACAAGCTATTTCTACAGGTAAATAAGAAAAAAAGCTAGTTCAATGGTATCTGGTGTTATATCTGTGTATTAGCTAGTAGCTTTAAAAGTTTGACTGCTTTGATATGAAATAGAATTTGCTTTTATGGAGCACCTTTTATACTGCAGATACAAGTAAGTCTATGCTAATGAGATCAGTGGTGAAAATGAAGTTTGCCTGTTCAAACAAAACAGATTAAAATGGATGCAGCACTGCCTTGGGTACCCATGACCTTTTATCCACTTGAAATCAAAAAGAATGAGACCTAAGATTTATTGTTCTTTTTAAGAGATATTAAGAGACTCTAACTACCAACTTTCCTGAAGAGGGCCTAGATTTAGATTAAATAAAGGTTATAAAAAGCATTCAAGTGGTAAAAATTTACCTCAGCACTATTAGCAGTGGCTTAGAGTCTGAATTTTGATTCAGATATAGACCTATGATTTGAGGTAAGAAGTAGCATTTTGCTATAAATAATATGTGTTTATAGTTTCTGCAACATGTTACAAGTTATTTTGGTGGAAACTCACCAACACTGGAGCAAAGGAATCTGACCTCTAATTTCAGTTCTGAATTAAAGCTGCTATCCTTTGCTTTATCTAACTTTCAGAACTTTTGGCTTTTTAACATAAAATATAATTTTGGCGCTAAACTCCTTAGTGCTATTTCTTTCAATATGTCTATTAATTCCTAAATGTGGATTAACACTGCAGTGTTTGGTAGTCGCCATAAGAGGGCTTTCAACAGTAAAACATGTGGAACTTTTCAGCTTTGGCTTATATTGCTAAGAGGAAGCCATATAAATCCTTTCCATAATGGAGCATGTGACAGTGATAACTGTTTTCACTCCAAAAGAGGATCTTTTTATCATTTTAGAATTATGATTAATCAAAGCACAGATTTTTTGGATATACTTACTGATGTTTATACAGTCTGTCTCTTCCTCACACCCCTAGAATTTTTTTCCCCCAGGACAGATTGGCTAAGGCAGTTACTCTCTGGCTGTGATGGCAGAGGTGCTAAGTTTGAAGGTTCTGTAGTCAGATATATTTTTTTTTTTAGTTAATCTGCTCTGAAGACCTGGTTTCATTGGTCTCGTTGGGAGGTTTGGAAAGGTTCGGTGCATTGCTAGCAAGGAGGATGCTTGGGTCTCTACTGACTGAGCATCTGCTGCTTCCTAAGAGGAAGCAAGCACAGGTGGCTTGGCTGAAAACATCTTCAATCAAAGTAATTATTTGAGCCCATATATTCCCAACTGTTACTTTTCTGTTTCATGATTATTTAAGCCTATTATTATACAGGCAAAAGTTGTCACTGATCACTGTACTTCCACTGGTCAGAGTTGTTGCATGTCAATGATAAGTAGTGAAAGGTGCATGCTGCTGGTGTTTTGTACTCCAGTGTTGACTTTTATTCTCCTATTAGGCTTTTCTCCACATTAAAGTAAAGGTGGTAAGAATAAATTTTTTATAAATTAAAGAATATCTTCTTGGTCACATGATGCAGATAATAGTAACGAAACTTCTAGACTGATTGGTAAGATTGTATTATCAAAGGTGGAAATGATATGATGGAAATTAATTTCAAAATGAAGACTGTGAAGAAGTTGGTAGTCAATATATTAATTATTTTTTTCCACCATTTTAAAATCCTGTGAAACCCCACAATGTTTTGTAGGAAACATTTACCTCCACTTCCTTATAGCCTTAAACCCTCACCATCCACCCTGTTTTTTCCATGCAAAACCTAACACTGCAAACAGGAGTTCCTGAGCAGGGGGTGACCTTGTGCCAGAGACACTCACTTCTTTTTTTCCCTTTGTATTTAAAAATTCCAGCGTAAGTGGAATCTTAACTTTTTCTTTCTTTGTTTAGCAAATGCCAGTGCTTAAAGTGAAATTCACTTCTAAATGAGACTCAGCAGTGAGTTTTGCCCAGAGTTGCAAAAGTGCCTATTTTTTTTGTAAAGGTTTGATTTAAGCATGCCAATAATTACCGTAGTAAATTTTTTCTAAGACTGAGGTGAATGCTGAAAACAACTTTTTTTACACGATAAAAGCATGTAATCATTTCCTACAGCTCTCTGAATGTTTTCTTAAACTATGCTTACTATTAAACTATACTAGTTTGTTCTCCACAACAGTGTTTAAGAAGCCATTATTCTTTGTGTCAGAATCTTCTACA